AGCCCCACAGGACCCCACTTCCTGGAGTCACTGTACCCCTCCTTTGCCCCTCTCTTCCCTGCACTGGTCTGGGTGCTGCCTGGGTCCTCCCCTTCCCTCCTTCCCTTCCCTCACGGCCTGCTGCCGAGCAGCTCTCCCCGGGAGCTTTCTCTGTCCCGCACCAGGAGCAGGAGACTCAGAGTGGGTTGCTCCCTGCCTCTCCCACTTTCTAGTTTTTCATCCAAAACATGGCTTCTCTGGACACTGAGGTACAGAGAAGTTTTGGGACCTGCACAGGGTCTCATAGCAACTGAGAGACTGAAGATTAGAACTCACAAACCCCAAGTTTCCGGAAGGAGGAGTCAAACTCTTAGAATCTATTAGAAAGGGCGATTAAGACTGGGCCAGGGAAGGGTGGCCTTGGAAGTGAGAAATGAGACCTGGCACATTGGCACCTCCACCCCCAATTCACAACACATCCTCTCCAAGGCTGGCTCTCCCCTGTTAAGGCCGCCTGTTCTTTGCTTCTTCATCTCTAGACTATATAAGGGAGCACGCTGGGGTCTTCCATCAGGTGTTCCCTTCCCCTCCCTGGTTTTTCTAGACTGTACTCAAAAAAAAAAAAACAAAAAACCTAAAATTGCTCTGGGTTCCCAGTAGAGCTCATTCCATCCTCTTGGCAGCTTCTTCTGCCTCTCACAGGCCCCAACTACACACATACCTATCCTATACCTTTCATAGAACAGACCTGCTTCCCTCCCTCCCATGCTAATTCCAGGACTTCCTCCTCCAGGAAGACTTCCATGACTAACATTTCTTGGCCCTGGTCACCCTAATAACAACACCCTAATAACAATGGACCAGACATTATAACAAACCCTTTGCAAACATCATCTCAGTGAATCCACACAACAGCCCTATAAGGTAGATCTTAACCCTGTTTACAGGTGAGGAAACTAAGTCACAGAAGGGCTAATCAACTGGCTGGGGGTCACATAGCTAGTAAATGATAGCATGAACTCTGCTTTGTTGTGGCAAATGTGGCAAATTTACAGACATCTCCTGTAAATTACCCTGTATCTATACACACGCAGAAACACACACAGACACACACAGACACACATGTACACACCATCTAACCTTTCAAACAAGTCAGGTGGTTATCAGTTATCACAGGCAATCTTAAAGGGAGTGAATTCCCAAGAAAGCAATTAGCAGTCTGAAGTGGAGGTTGCATGGTGTAGTGGCCCGCCCTCAGCCCTGGTGGCAGTGGACAATGAAAATGGGTGCTTAGGTGGGACTGCAAGTGCATGAGCCTTAGGTCTTTTACAACTAGGTGTGAGACACCTTTTCTGGCACCATCTGTTTACTGACACTGCTCAGCCTGGGGGCCCAGAGTAACTACCCAGATCTTTCTACTCAGGAACAACTCCGGGGATTATCTGCTCAACAAGTTATATGCTGTCTGTGTACTCCTGTCTCTGCATCGTGTGCACATGTGATAGAATAGAACAAGAGGTGATCTTTTTGTAGGTAAGAAGCGTGACGATCGGGTTTTTGTGCTCACGTGTGAGAAGTGCCTCCCTCAAACCTTGTTATGAAGTCAGCACATTACTGGTCTTTTTTTTTTCTTTTTAAAGAAGAAAGAAAAAATAATAGAACAAGAGGCATCATGCCTTCTCATCACCATCAGATTAGATGTCCCAGAGCCAGGGCCTCCATCTCCCCCTTGGTCTATTTCCAGAACAGGCCCCAGCCAGGGAGAATGTTGAAACCCCGGTGAGTGTCAATGAGCCTCGCTGAGACTACAGTTTAGGAGGAAACTGTTGAAAAAAGAGAGACATATGAAGGATTGTGAGTATCTGAAGTCTGTCTTCCCAACCTTGATCAAACAGGGCTGGCACTGAGTCCAGAAGTGGTAATAGTTTTTGGACATGATTGTCAAAGCGAAGAATACCAGTTGGTTATAAAGATGCCTTCCTGGTCTGCCTTAGAACCAAGATGGAGAGGCGGAAGCACCTACCTCATGACAGGTATTGGCTAGAAGGAGAAAATCTCACAGCCGTGGAGTGGGGGAAAAGATATGAAGTCATTTTTATTGAGACCAGGTCAAGGAATGTGCAAGCGGACTTGTGGGTACCTTTTGGAGCCCATAGCTCCTGGGAGCCTCCTATGGTTCCGTCTATGGCTCCTTCTAAGGATCTTCGAGTCCTCTCTGGTCTGCTACTTCCTGCAGTGTTTTAACATTTTTCATTCTCAACTCTGTGTCAGGAGGACCTAAGTCCCCACCCCCACTCCCGATCCCCAACCCCCAATTTTTACCAACTGGTTGGGCTCCAAGTCCCCAGAACCAGCCAAGTATTGATCAAGTGTTGCCCTGACACTCACCTCCCCAGCACGCAGCTCTCTTCCTCCAGCCACAAACCATTCCCTTGAATTCTACACTCTCCCACTAGGCTCAATTTCCCTCCGGTGTAGAGAGGCCTGGTAGCTTACCTCCGCCTCCACAGAGCACCCATAGGAGGCATGATAATACTAGCCACCATTTCAGAGTCACCCTCGGGTGTCAGGCACTGTGGGGACTTTCACTGAACATATTATCTCACTTAATCCTCTCAGCAACCTGCTTCCTCCTCTCCATGTACACATGAAGAACCTGAGGTTTAGAGGTGTTCAGTGAGTGACTCTCAGTAGGCGGCAGAGCTAGGAAGGAACCAAGGTTTGAGTGACCCAGAGAGAGGCACTGCTGGTTATATCACCAGATGTGAATCTGCTCTGTCCTCTGGGGTACATGGGGCAGGGCCAAGCCTGGCATCTCCTAACATTGCTGAAAAGAGAAGAGAGCCCCAAGACTCCCCAACCCTGGCTCTTCTCCATGCCAGCCCTCAACCCCACCTTCAGGGGCCTTTGTGGTAGAGCCGTTCTCCAGAGAGGGCAAAGAAAGAAAATTCCTCCTCTGAGCCACCCTCAGGACAACTGTAGGAATCCTCCATGCACCATCCACGTGGGACCCCTCCCCAGCCCAGAGCAGGGGACACGGTCCTCTGCCACCTCCTTCCAATATTCCAGACCCCACTGCTAAATTCCCCACAGTGCCTCAGGACCCATCATAGTCTTTCTAGTTCCTACTCCCTCTCTTCTCTCCACCACTCAGAAGCATCCCCTGAGTCTTGAGAGAGAGGGAGTTTCTCAATCCCCAGGAAGACAGACCAGCTCAGAAAACCCCACCTCTACTGAACCCAAACGCAGCGTTCACAGCTCTGAGGGAACTGTGATAAGCCAGCAGGAAAATCTGCTGCCAACATGGATGGTAGGATGCTTGAATTCCAAAGGTGACACTGTACCTCCTTCCCCAAGTCCTTCTAGAAAAAGGATCATTAACCAGCCTAGGAAGACTTAATGCTGGGAAAGGAAGCTCTGGAAGGCCTTATCTTCTCTGCCCCTTCAACCCAGGCAAGGGACCTTCCTTCGGCTCACCCAGAGAAAGGTTCCACAGAAGTCACGCCTAAACTCTTTAGCTACAGGACCCTGTCTTCAAATGAACCAATGTCACATACTCCCAGGATAGAAAACTGCTGAAAGCGGGGCTGGCCTGGGTGTGGGGTGGGGCGGGAGCCTGCCTTGCTTTGCCAGATGTTGAGCGCCCGGGCTCTGTGCAGTTGGTACCTTTATTCCCATGACTGCCTGTGCCGTCACCGCTGCACTGTGAAGGATTCCATTTGTCCATCTGGAAGATGGACATTATTTTTCCCTTCTCACTCCTTCACCTGGCCCACAGCCTGTGCCTTTTGGAGTGGAGGGGGACATCCCGACCTGGGGACAGGGACATTTGGAGAGCAGTCCTGTGAAAAGTTGCCATCTGGGACCCTCCACCTCCCACCAGGACACTGCCAACACTGAGCACCCTTTTAGTTCCACAAATTCTTGCTAGGCCCCTGTAAAGATTCGCCCAACCTCCTCTTCCTCTAAGCTCTGACATGTTGGAACCCCAAAGCCATGAGGGGCCTCTCTCAGGCCAGAAGGAGCTCTAGGATCCTAGCCCTCAGCAGAAGGCCCCAGGCTTTCCCACCTGCTCCCAGCTGCTCTGAGGAAGGTGATGGGGCCTGCAGACCTGGGCTGGAGCAGGTTTCCTTTCCCCAGAGCCTGGCTGGGGGTGTGGGTAGGTGGCCTGGAATGTGCTCTCTCACCCTCCTCCTGCCCAGGTAGTGAGCAGCCAGAGCCCCCAGCCCTCTAGTTCTGAGGGTAAGCTCTGTGAGCCAGACTGACAGGACAGCTGCCCCCAGTAGGGTCCCCTTCACGCGCCATCTCACCCCAACTCAGACGCTAAAAATGGTTCTCTGGTTTTCAGCCTCGGCGCCTGCCCACAAATTAGTGTCTCCAACATAGCCTCTTGGGACATGACTTTAGGGAGGACCCTGGGGGAGCCAGGAGGCCCCAGTGAAGGGAGATGGTGCTGGCAGAGTCCCTTTCTAAGGAGACAAGAGTGGATAGGGGCCCCCTCCCAGCTTCTGGGAACCCCCCCTCACAAAGGCCACCCAGCCTCAATGTGACAGCCCTGCTGTCCTCACCATGGCAGAAAAACAGACATTATTTCCACCCCACCGGGGCATGCTCCCCTCACCTCCACCTCCAGTTCTGTCAGCTTTACCCTCAGCCACCATCCCGGGCACTGCTCTACTAGAAGAGAATGTAGCAACGGAGATGGGGCAGCCAGCCCCATGCCCTCCTGCTCAGGGTCCAGAACCCAACTCACCAAGCCTGGGCTCCCATAGTGAGCCCACAAGCACAGAGGCCAATGGGGAAGCCAAGTCAGGGAAGCCCGGTCTCCCTGCTCACCTGATATTTCATCTCAGACTCTTCTCCCCTCCCCAGTCCCGCAGCCGTCAACTTGGAAGGGGGTGAACCCTCTCTGTGATGCCCACGCCCCAGGGCACCAAGCAAGCAGGTGCCCTGCTGAGGCCAAGACTGGGCACTAGCCAGCAGCCCGCAGGACCAGGTGGGGACGGGCGGGCAGTACTCACAGGTAAGCCGTCAGGGGGTCCAGGTCCCCCGGTACGGCGGACAGCCCGAGCTCAGAGCAGTCGGCAGACAGCATGATGCCGTCCTCCTGGCAGTGGCAGGGGGCCGGGCAAGCAGTGGGCCCCGGGCCGGGCCGGGGGGCGCCGCCGGCGCTCCGGGAGGCGCACAGCGCGGCGCAAAGCCACAGTGCCCGGAGCCCGGGAGGGCTGGGCATCTCGGCGGCCGCGCTGCTGGGGCACCTGGCGGGCGGGCGTGTGGACGCACGGGCGCGGTGGCCGCAGCTGCTTCCTCCCGGTCCCGGTGGGCTGCGCCGTCGGTGGGGACCGCCCCGGGGGCTCTGCTGGGCGTCAGCGGCGGCGGTGGGAGCGCCGGGACGGTGCAGTCAGAGAGGGGCAGGCATTGTTGAGTGATCTTCGTTATTCAGTTTCACAGGCTGGGCTTGGCAAGGGAGGGAGACCCAGCCGGAGGAGGAGTCAAGGAAACTTTCTACGCTGCGGCTCGCTCCCCTTCCCTCCTTCCTTCGGAGCTGGCAGGAATTCCATTCAGGAAAGAAAAAAAAAAGGAAGAAAGCAAAGAAACCCAAGCGAGCAAAGCTCAGCCCGTCAGAGACGTGCATTTGTTTGGAAAGGGTGCCCCAGGGCCTTGGCCCCAGGGCTGGGGACCCTCTTGTCTTTGGGGACAGCCACGGGGTCACATGGGACCAGAGGAGGTCCCCTCATGCCTCCACCACGTTTCACACGTTTCACACTGGAGGAAACCGAGACCCAAGAGGAGAAATGATTTGTTCAGGGTGACACAGCTGATGGGGCAGCCCCAGAGCTGGAACTCGTCCGCCCTCCTCGGCCTGTCTTCTAGGACAGGAGAGAGGGGAGTGAGGGGCTACTCTGGGAGAGGCCAGGCTGTGGAGGGTTCCACTACAAGCTGAGATGACCCGACAGTGGGCAACCAGGAGCAGTCTCCTCACTGAGAGGCCGCGCCTTGACTCCAAAGAAACGGGTGTGGAGTTCCACCCGCTGAGCGCACCCTGGGTGGAAATGCACTCCTGCAGCCTCTGTCAGGTTTACGGGCCGGGGACTACCTTGATCCCCGCTCCCAGGACTTCGGGAGGCTGAGGGACTGCGGGAAGCTCAGCTGGTTGGCAGAGCCCGCCTCAAAGTAAGCGGTTTGGCGCCACCTGGAGGCTGGGTGCTGCAGCTGCAGCTCAGCCACCCTGAGGCTGGAATCCCAACAAGGGGCTGACCTGGCCGGCCCCAGAGCACTGATGAGCAAGGGGTATGGTGGTTAACACTGAAGTCAATCGCTGTTCTCTCCTTAGATCATAGTGAGCTGGCTGTGCTTCCTTCTTGTTCTCTCTGGTCTATCCCATGCTGAGCCAAGCCCCAGCGCAGAGCTAGAGCAGGCTGTGGGCCCCCCTCCTTCCTTTTTTGCCCCATCTGCCCATGGTCCAGCCAGAGGGTATACCAGAAACCTGGGACCTCAGAGGCATCCAGGATTTCTTCCACCCTGTACTTCCACATGCCAGGATCCTCTCATCAACACCTCTCCACTCTCCGATAACCTCTCAGGGCTAGAGGGGCTGCATAGCTGGACCAAGAAATAAGCAGACCCTGACCCTAGGCCTCCAGTTGGTGCCATGGCACTGAAAGTAGAAGAGGAGCCTCATAGGAAGGCCAGGGGATGGGCCTGCATGACCAGAAAGACCCACAGATAGAGCCACCTCTGCCCTATAGCAGAAAGCTACCGCAGGTCAGCCTGCACTTCCTTCACTCAACCACAGCCTCGACTCCATCACATTTGCAGCTCCTGCTGCTCCAATGTGAGATTTTCCCAGAGTAGAAAAGCCATAGCTGAGCAACCTCAGCAGCAGCTGCTTGAGACAGACATGGGCAGCTCAGAGCAGAGCCTCTAGCCTGCTTTTGTGAGGGTCATTGGGGGCCCAGCCCTCAGCTCCTGAAAAACAAGGCATATGGAGGACACCAACACTCAGTCCTCCTGGGAGGGGACCAGTGCTTAGTCTTATTCTGGGAAAGCTCCCGGCTGAGCAGCCAGCACGACCTCTGTACCCTTCTTCAACCAGGCCTGAGAAGGATCCTCCCTTGACTTCTGACCCATTGCATGTTAGTAGGAACTCAGGTTGGCCCAAGAGCTCTCCCCGCTTCCCCTTGGGGAGACCCAATTCCATTTCAGGGACTCTTGCTCTGATCTGCCCAGGCTTTCTCTGTGTCCTCCCAGGGCCTTCCACCAGGAGCAGTTAGTGTCCAGCATCAGGCACTGCACCTGGAAACTCGCAGCCTGACCAGGGAGGCAGGCAGGAGCTCATGCGGCCATCAGCAATCATGCAGATGGTATGCAGTGCAGTCCTAGAGTGTGTGGGACAGACAGCTACCTCCCCACCCTCTTTTCTGGTCTCTGCTGCTCCTCCTGGTTTTTCCTTTCTCCATATGCTCTCCCTGCTTTCTCCCCCACCTCCTCCTATGTGGAGGGGAGGAAGGAGGAGACAGGGAAGGAGCAGGGAAAACTTGGCAACTCCATCTGAGGGGTGCCTCCGGCATCTGCCTTCTGAGTAACAGGGTAGCTCTGACACCTCCACCCTGGTCGAGGGCTGAGGGTGGCCCCTGGGGGCTCTGGCAGGTAGAGAAGGCTGGGCATGGCAGGAGAAGGGAAGTAGGAAACAGGATAAACCCTACTGTATACAGGGTGGCGCTTACAAGGTAGTGGGGCAGAGGACGAACAATTTGGAGCTGTGATTCTGAATCCAGGGCTTAGCACCACAGGAAACTAGATGTGGAGAGACCAAAGTCTGAGGAAGCTGAGAAACTGGAGGATTAGCGGGAACAGGATTGCTCCATGGGAAAAACCAACAGCATAGGGGCTATAGGTCACTTAGTTCAGCCAGACTCCAGGTCCTAGCTTCCATCCCGGCTCCATGTTTGCCCACAAAACCCACACACTGGACTCACGTCTGAGGATGGACAGACAGAGCACGCTGAGCCTCACGCTTGGCCACATGTCTTTATTCCGAGACCCCGTCCCTTCGCAGCACAGGGCCCAGTGGAGGCCGCCCTTCCAGGGAGCCCAGGCCCACGTGGACGTGTCAGGAATGCTGTCCCGATCCAGCAGGGCACAAACCTCTCCTGCTCTGACACTGCACGGTGACCGGTGCCAACTCAGGGCAGCCCGTCTGCCAGCGCGCTGTTCAGACAGTTGTACAGGTAGATATACTGCTCCTGGAGATGGACACAGGGTTAGGAGGCTCGCCCTGCCTGCCCCAATCTAACAGAAAAAGGCTCCCTTGTGTGCCCCAACCCTTAGGGCGCCATCTGGGAGAGCGCACAGCGGTCCACAGCGCCACCTGGTGGCTACCCGGGTGGTGCTGCCTAGAGGCCTGGGCAGAAGCTCCCTCATCCCCCTGCCCCTTCCCACAACTGAGCCCCCACGCCCCCACGCCCCCACCTCAGCCCCGTCGCCTCTGGTCGCCTCTCAACAGCGTTGGGGTCATAAGGCTACAGGCCTGAGACCGCTGCAGGGCCACGTTAAAGACATCCACGGTGCACTCAGACCCTGCCTGCTGCAGCAGCTGCTCCATGGCCAGGAAGGTGCCCAGCTGGGTCGCACCCTTGCTGCAATTGACCTAGCGTTGGAGGAGGTACCTAAAGGGGTTATGGCGGGGGTGTAGGGGGATGTGGGGAAACCCAACCTGGGCACAGGGACTGAGAAGGGACACCGAACACTTGGTCAGCCAGCCAGCCTGGGCCCAGGGAGGGAGGCGGTAAATTCCCACCATATTCCTGAGGACAGGGTAGGGTGTGGAGAAGACGGGGTCCATTGTGAGACTGTGTCCTTTTCACCCATAACCCAAGCAGGGCTCAGGGAGATCTGAGGCTATGCCAGAGGGGCAGGGAGGAGCTTCCAGTGTCCACTCCCCCAAGACTGTTGTCCAACAACACCTGGAGCGGCTGAGCAGTGTGCCTGGCTTCTTGCTGTTGCCCCGAGAGCAGCACTGGCCCACAGCAGCCAAGAAGGGCAGCAGATTGGTGGCAGGCAGCTCACGCCCAGGTTCCAGGTATGGAAACTGCAGTCTCTGCACCTCCCTTTCCTTCCTGCTGTCCTGGGGCAAAGGCAAAGACATGATCGGCATTGATGCTGGAGAGGCAGGGAGCCCGCACATGACTCTTCCCCCACACACCATCCCATGCCCTGTGGCCCAACACCTACATATGTAACCCTGAAGAGGGTACAGAGCCATCCTGCTGTGCTGCTCTCGGCCACCCAGTGCACCGTCACCATGTCTGTGACAATGGGCTGCATCTCCATTGGCCAGAACTCCTGTGGCTGGGACCAAGTTAGGGCTGCTCAGGCAACTTCCTGAGATCTCTGCCCCCGCCTTGGTGACAGACAGCATCGCAAACTCCCCGCCTCCATCCTCAGCCCTAACTCCTGAGCCTCCCTTCCTCTGTCCTCTCACCTTCTCCGTAGCATCGGGTGGGCACCCAGAGACAAGCACATGAGTCCCGTGCTGCCACACCAGCTTCCAGAGCTCCTCTGGCCCTGCGGGGCCAGTCAGCACCACGTGGTCACGGCCAGAGGGCCCACCCTGCAGAGCACAGCTCATGGGCTTTCAGAGACTGAGGGTGTCCCCCTGTCCAGCTCACAACTCTGGGAGCCCCTAGCAGCCCCAGCCTGGGAAGTACAGGTGGTCAGAGAGGGCAGGAAACAGTGGCAAAACCAGCATCATCTCACAGGGAAAAGCCAAGCTTCGGGCGTGTCATCGGGGGGCTCTCCTCCACCGGAGAAAACTGTCCCTGAGAACAGTCATCTGAGGGAAGACAGTGAGGGTGAAGCTGCCAGAGGCCCCCCAGCCCACGCTGGCCCCCTGCCTCTCCACAGGGTCCGCAGTGAGACTCACAGGAGATGGGGCTGTCCTGCTCATAGCCAGGAGGGGGCGTGGAAGAGCCAGCCTCGTCCTTGATGGCCTGCAGGAGGAGCTGGGAAGGAGATGGGTGCCCTGAGCCTGGGAGGTCCCACTGCAGGGCTGGCTCCGCAGGGGAAGGCTGCCCTTGGCTGTCACCCACTTCCTGGCCTGAAGTGTACCTCGTACTTCTTCAAGAAGCCAGCGTTGGCATTGGCTGCCCTCTTGGCACATGCCTGCATGAAGTTCATCACAGAGATGGGCCAAGACCTCGTCGGGGGGTTGGAGAGGGAGAAGGCAGTCAAGGTTCCCAAGCTCCCCATTCTAGTCTGCTCGGCTCTGCCCACGAACAGAAGCAGGGAGCCTGCCTGTGGGAGGCACAGGGAAGCTGGGACTTACTCAGAGATGTTGGAGGGCGCTTCCAGAATCTTGTTCAGTAGGCAGCTGTGCAGGAAGACGTACGGGCTCTGCCAGGGGGAGGGGCATCA